GTTTAGATATATTTTTAATATTATCTATAGCAGTGGTTCTCAACCTTGGGTGCACATTAGAATCACCTGGGAATCTTTTTAAAATCCTGATTCCTGGGCCTCATCCTCAGGAAATTGTTTCTTTGTATGGGGTGGGGCCACAACATTAGTAACAAAGAAACAGAATGTCCGGAGGATGAGGCCCAGAATCAGGATTTTAAAAAGATTCTCAGGTGATTCTAATGTGCAGCCATGGTTGAGAACCATTGATCTATAGATATAGTATTTCCAAAGGTAGCTTCAATAATAGATTCATTACAAATCATTTCACTTCCATGCTCTGCTCTGAGGGCAGGTTCCTGCCTGAAAACTCGCCCTGAGGGCTGGTTCCTGCCTGAAACCTCACCCTGAGAATGGGTTCCTGCCTGAAACCTCACCCTCCAGGAAACAGCTGGGGGAGGGCGCAGCCATTTCCAAGACATCCCCTGCAGGACTGACTTCCTTCCGGTTGGTCGCGGTTCTGGCCATGATGTTACACCCAGGGTTTTTATATAAGTAGATATTTAATTAATTTCAGAGAGGAAGGGGGAGGGAGAGAGAGATAGAAACATCAGTGATGAGAGAGAATCATTGATTGGCTGCCTCCTGCATGCCCCCTATTAGGGGCACATTGCACAACCCAGGCATGTGCCCTTAACCAGAATCGAACCTGGGACCCTTCACTCCTCAGGGTGACACTCTATCCACCAAACCAAACCAAACCAAACCAGCTAGGGCTGCCTTATTTTCTTGACTTGATTAGTGAGTGAGCTGTTCAAAATACAAACTGTTGTGATAGTATATTCTTGGAGATATTTTAATAGAACTTTATAGAATTTTAAAAAATTATATTGCTTTACTTCAGTTTGGAAATAGCTTTATTTTAGTCTTTTAAAAATATTTCTCTCCTTCCAATTCTTGTTTTTCTGTCCTCAAGGATTTTTATATGTTTACTAGAGCCCCAGTGCACAAAATTTCTGCACTGGTAAGATCCCTAGCAGCTGCTGGCTGCCGGCTGCCAGCCAGGTACTCCCTCCCTTCCCCTGGCCACCTGCCACGGTCGGGGCTTCGCTCCCTTCCCCCAGCCGCCTGCCGCCACTGGCCTGGGCCTCCCTCTCTTTCCCCC